CCTGCTGGGGGAGGGGGTGCTTTGCGAGGTTGGGTGACAGGGACCCTCTGGCTCCCAAGGTGCCTCCAGTTTCACCTCTAGTGACTGTTTTTTGGGAAAGGGCTGGTTGCCAGGACAACAGCCCCCACCTCCACCCAGGAACAAAGGGGCAGCCAGGAGAGCCAAGAACGGCATGTTCTGTCCCCGCCAACGTGACTGCCACATCCTGGCAGCTGGCATTCGGAGGGCTGTGCCCTGAGCCGCCAGGCCTGGCCACCCCAGACAAGGCTACAGGGTGTGGGGGTGGTTGGGTGGGCAGCCACAGCCCGAGGGATTTAGTTCCTGGTCAGCCTGCCCAGGGCCTCTGTTCTTCCTGTACATTCTGACAAGGAAGTCGCCCGCTCTGCCTGCAGGACTTCAGGGGAGGGGTCAGACTTCCCTGCTGGATGGGCCGCCACAGCCTGGGGTCGGGGGGACAAAGGCCATGTGGCGCCTCCCTGCTCTCCAGACTCTGGACCGGGCATTCCAGGGCTGGGGGTGCCCATTGGGTCCCGCCTGGCCCAGAACAGGACAGCCCAGGGGACACTGGGTCTCAGAGTAGCTCCCCTCCCCCAAACCTGCCACCACTGCAGCCATGGGGGGGGGGCAGCTGGCAGCTGGCGCCACGAGGGCTGGGGGTGGGGACGGGCCAGGGTCTGCATGTTAAAAGACCCCTGGCTTCCTGCAGCGATGGGCCTGGAGGACAAAACCTGGCCTTCTTTGCCTCTGGCCATGCAGCCACAGTTGGTCGGACTGTCCACTGACCGACTGGAGCTGCAGTGTGGGGAAAGACAAGAGCAGGCCTGTCCTGGCCTGGATTTAATACTGCCAGAAAAAATACAGGACATGCAGGTAAATCACTCATTTTTTTAGCATAAGTACGTCCTTTGTGATATTTGGGATATACTTATGTTTTTAAAATTATGTTTCTGGGCCTCCCCGGTGGTGCAGCGGGTTGAGCGCAGCACCGTGAAGCTGTCTACAGCCTCTGCAGCACGGGTTCGATTCCCAGCTGGCCAGGCAGAAACCCACATGGCGCGGCAGACCTCTCCTGCCTCGCCTGCTGCTCCCCTCAGCAGTGTCTTTGGTCCATCTGCCTGTTCTGTTCCCTGTTCTGTCCCTGGTAAATTCTCTTACCCTCCCGCGCCTCTTACCTGTACCCCAGCTCTTGTATATTTATATAAATATATAAATCTTTAAAAAAAAATTATGTTTCTGAAAGTGACATTTAAGTGGTGTCCTGTATGTTTTTTGAGAAATCTGCCGTCCTAGGCCAAGGACTCAGGGAGATGCAAAACAGCTCATCCTTGTGCCCACACACTTCTGCTCTGCTGTTCCCAGCTTACGGATGCCCTGCTATCTACCCCCCAATCTCCAGGTCTCTCATGCTGGAGCCCCAGGCAGAGGCCTGAATTAACCACCACCTCTGAACCATGGCCTGACTGTTCTTTCTGCAGTCTCTTTCCCAAGACCCCATCACTTGCAGACCTGACCACAGCCATCAGCTCCCACCTGCCCATGCCTACCTATATCTATACCCATCCTGCTTCCATGAGGCACCACTCCTTCTCCAGAATCCAAAAGTTGCTCTCTTCTGCTCCTACAATAAAGGCCAAAAGCCTGCACCCCTTCCCCAGGGGCTCAAACCAGCCCTTATTTCCAAACCCCAGCCCCTGTGGTTTCCCACATATATCCTGCTCTCTTGTCCTCAGGCATGGGCCACTGCATCAGCCAGTCAGGTCCACTTCCCCTGCCCATAGCTTTCCAGGCCTCCTACTTCCTTCCAAGAGAAACCCAGGTCTTCTCCACCACCCACAAGGCCCTGCACAACCTATCTCTGTCCCCTTCCTATGCTCACATCCTCCCTCTCTCCCCCTTGCTCACTCTGCCCCAGCCACATGGGCCTCCTGGTTCCTCCAATTCATCAAGCATGGTTCTGTCCCAGGACCTTTGCATGTACTGCTGCCTGGAGCACACCTCCTCCAAACACATGGTTCAATAGCCTCCCCTACTCCAGGTCTCAGTTCAAATGTCACCTCCTTGGTGACAACCCAAGAGATCTTTCAAATGTTCTAACCTGCCCTTGCTAATCCTGCTCCAGAACCTTCTGCAGTACCTCAGAGCCCTCAGGACTCTGTCAGCCTACTCCTTCCAGCCTAATTCTATCTCCGTCTCGCTTTCCTGACATCCACCCCATGTTGTCCCTTCCAGCTCCCTACATCTATGTACTCTTTGTTCCCTCTGCCTGGAACAGCTCTCCAGCACCTTCACCTGCCTGACAACTAGCTCCTTCCTTCCCCACATTCATATTTTAGGCCTCAGATTAGATATAATTTCCTCAGGGAAGACTTCTAGGAACACCCCCACCCCTGCACCTGGGTGCCTCTGCACCCTCCCATCATAGGCCTGGTCAATGTCCATTTTACCCACCTGGTCATTAGTCTGCTCCTCCTTCAGACACAAGATCCAGGGCCCACAACACTTTTAGGGATCCACAAATAATTTTATTTAAATTTCTCTTAAAACCAGGGCATCCCTGGTGGCGCAAGGGTTAAGACACAATCTATGAAGCTGTCCGCAGCCACTGCAGCACGAGTTCGATTTCCAGCCAGCCGGGGAGCTACCCACATGGCACAGCAGACCTCTCCTGACTTGCCCTGCTGCTCCCCTCCGCAGTGTGCTTCAGTCAATCTGCCTGTTCTGTTCCCCACTCTGTCTCTGGTGAATCCTCTCACCCCCCACACCTCTGGCCTGTTCCCCAGATCTTGTATGCATAAATAAACAAATCTTTAAAAAAATAAAAATAAATAAATTTCTCTTAAAACCAGAAGAAAAAAAGAAACCACCAATGCAGTTGTAAAAGATCGTTTGTAATATTTTTTTTTCATTGAGAGAAAGGCTTTAAATGGCAAAAGTGCTTTGGGCTCGCAAAAATCTTAATATGGTCCCGATGGTCCCATTTGCCTCCCCACAGGACTACGAGTGCGGTGAGGGTGAAGGTCCAGACAGGGTCCCTAGGGCTCATTAGCATGGGCCCAGCACACAGCACCCACAGCAGGTGCATAATATGACTGTGCAGCCAGTGAATCATAGGGGTCTCACGGTCACTTCTGTCCTGGCTCGCACATAATAGGAGATGCCTGATAAATGTTTGGATGCATGGACGGAGGGACGGTCAGAGGACACATGGCCGGACACCTGGATCAGGAGGAAAACAATTTGGGATCAAGCAGCGCCATCTTGTGGCTAATGCTCTCCTGCTTGCCCCTCTCCTAGGCTGGGAAGGAAAGTTAGGTTTTCAGAGCACTCTGACCCTGGTGGAGAGAAAGAAGAATGATGGGGCTAAAGAGGGAGAGGGAAGTGAGAGATTATGTCAGAAACAAAAATCTGGAAGACAGACAATGCAGAGTCCAAATCCCGTGGCACCCACTTAAGTAAGAGCAAGTTACATCGCCTCTGATCCTCAGCTTTGTCATCCAGAAAATGGGGAAAATCATTATCAGGCCTTAGTAATTTAAGAAATAGCTCAAGATAACGTATAGCCTCCTGCTCTGGGGCTCTTACACAGGTGTGTGACCCTCAAGGAGCCCCTCCCCCCACCCCAATGGGAGATGGTGGTCTCCCTGTCAACAAGACTGGGGCAGAGAAAAGGACAGGGGTTTTTGGGGTAAGGTCATCATCAGATTGAGCAAAAACAAAAATAACCAAAGAAAAGAATGTCCAATTCAATTTAAATTTCAGATCAACAGAATCGTTTTCCAGTATATCCCAAATATTGCATGGAATACATTTATTAGCCAAAAATTAAATTCAAATTTAATTAAGCATCCTGTATTTTATTTGGCAACCTTAGCCTGGGTGACAAACAGGTGATGCCACTTCACCCCAAGGGTTAGATACAGTCCTAGTTGGGTTTTATTTGGTCCAATAGTTTTCTAACAGGTTACTTCCACACTCTGGAATCCCCTTAGATCTGGGAATCTCTGAGGTTTTGGTTTATAGACCAAGAATATAAAGAATACTTGAGGGGGATGGGGGATTACAAGTAGTAGCAGCTTCAGGAAGAGGTTGATCCAGGAGTCAGAGAGTCTGAGGGTTAGTCCCTGCACTGCCCCTGGCTGACCATCTCTGGGTCTCAGTTTTCTTTTTTTTTAATTTAAGATTTATTTATTTATGTATACAAGAGCTGGGGTACAGGCCAGATGTGTGGGAGGGTGAGAGGATCCACCAGAGACAGAGCGGGGAACAGAACAGGCAGACTGATGAAATACACTGCTGAGGGGAGCAGCGGGGGGAGACAGGAGAGGTCTGCTGTGCCATGTGGGTTTCTCCCTGGCTGGCCGGGAATCGAACTCGTGCTGCAGAGGCTGCGGATAGCTTCATAGTGCTGTGCTTAACCCCTTAACCCCGGGTCTCAGTTCTCACGTGTAACATGGGGATGGTAAAGGTAGATGTAGTGTTGGGAAGGTTAAGTGGCCCAAAGTGGGCCATGAGGGCAGAAGGCACCCTGGATATCACTGCACTTCGGTGATTAAAGTTACTCATAACGCTGGGTCAGGTTTGGCTCCAGCAACCCCAGGCCGGGGGCGCAGAGGCACAGGCCTCCGACGCCCCGGGGCCGACATCAAGCGACCATGTCTGTTCTGGCAAATTCAGTTTGGCCACTACAGAAAGGGGGGCCAGGGAAACCCAGATCTCATATCGTATTCCCCTCCAGGACCGCACTGCTGGGGCCCCTAGATGGGGAGGGGAGTCCTAGGCTGGATTAGGGGTCGTCCAGGGGTCCCCCTCGTGGGCGCGAGGGGGGAGCGCGGGGCCCCGGGTCCCGCCCTCTTTGGACTCTCTGGCTGCTGCACGTCCCGAGCCCGGGGGGCGGGGCCCGGGGCGGCACCCCCACCCCCGGGATTGGCCTTCCGGTTAGTCACGACCACGTGCCGGTCCCCGGCGCATAAAACCCGCCCTCGCCCCGCCCGGAGGTTCCCAAGTTGTCCTGAGGCTCTGCGCGCGCGCCCGGAGCGTCCCGTCCTGCGGTGAGAGCCCGGGGTGTCCGCTGGCCGTGTCGGGGCGGGGCCGACTAGTCCTGAGCCCCCCACCCCGGGGAGGGCCTTCGGGGGGTTTCGACTGGGGTCTGCGGCCTGGGGGTGGGTCTTCAGCCCGGGCTGTACCCCGCTTTCTGCACCGCCCCTGGCCCCTGCCAGCCGCCTGCCCAACTTCTGAATCAGGCTCAGACTTTCACACCCAATTCCTGGGACTTTCGCGGCTGGGCGGGGGTCGGGGCCGGGGTGGGGGTAGGGGGTCGGGGTCGGGGGGCAGGGGAGGGGGGTGGGGGGCTGGAATCGGCAGGGGGCGCCAAAGAGCCCGTCGGAACTGATAGTCTCCAGGGTTGAGGGCTGTATCCTTCATCCCAAGTCACAGCCCTTTGAATGGGAAGTGTGCGGCTTTGCCAGCGCAGTTGGGAGGCTGGAAACCTTCCTTCCATCCGTACAGGATTCCACCTCCTTGAGCCTTCGGAGAAAAGACCCCCTTCCCGCTCCGACCAGGGGCCGCCCCTTCTGCCCAGCAAAGCCATCCTCCTCCAAGGGGTCTTGCCCCCGGGATCCTGGTCCTCCCCTCCTCACCTTCGGGCCCCCTGGCTGACTCTGGAGAGGTCATGGGCAAACCCCGCCCCTTCCCTTTGGCGGGTGTGGCCAGGGGATTGCACAAGGCTGGCAATGTAAGGTCTACCCTTTATCTGAGTCCTTGGGACCTTTGTCAGGACTAGATGAGGGGCCTCGGTCCCCAGGAACTTTGGAAGTTGGATCTCAGCAAGCCCTGGCCGCAGCTGGGTGATTGCTGGTGCCACCCAGCCCCAGCTAGCTCTCGCTGCGCTAGCAGCAGGCTGCCCACCCTAAGGATTTTAATGGAGTGCTGAAATCTGCAGTGGCCACTCTTGGTTAAGCTAGTTCCAGGAGGAGTTGATGGACACAGGGGTGGGAGGAAGGGCCTCCATGTCCTGCCCAAGCAAGCTCAGACTCCAAGGAAGGTGAGAAGAATAATAGGACTCAGGTGATGATCCCCAGGGCAGGTGTGCCTCCTGGACCCATATCCCAGTTGGGGGGGTCTCTGTAACAAGCAGGAAGCTCATCCCTGGGTGACTTCACATGTCTGCTACAGTGAAGTGTTCTCTTTGTTAAGCATCCGCTATGTGCTAGGCATGACGCTGAACACCACACTTGAGCTTCTTTAATCTGCAGGATTCTGCCTGGAATAGTTACCCCCATTTTACAGATGCAGCAGTTAGACTCCGGGGTGGGGGACCTGTCTTCCCAGGCTCCCCCTCCTAGTGAATTGCAAACTCAGGGGTAAAAAAACCTGCTTTGAACTCGAGAACCAGTTCTCTCACAACATCAGTTTGCTTGGATCCACTTGGAAATTGCAACACCACCGCCAGGAGCCGGACTCCCTTTCTCTGGAAGGAAATGCTCAGAATCAAGGACGGAGGGTCTGTATAGGCTCACCCCAGAATTGTGTGAGGAACCAGCCTTCGAGGCAGGTTCTTTAGCCTTAGGCTAAGCACCACCTTTAGCCTTGTTTTACAGGTGAGAGGAAGCTCTTTGCACATTGCATGGGTATGGAATCCAGTCTGATCATGCCAGGCTGATCTCACCTCACCTGGCCAGGAAATGGAGTATACTGGTGACTCCCATCTCACCTGAGCCTTAGATTTGCTCACACCTGCATTCGATTCACCCAAACAACCTCCTGAGCTCTTTGGGCTCTGAGTCAGACGAGACCCCTAGTCTGACTTGATTGGGGCCAGGTATGGTAAGCTCAGCGTTTTTGGGGGGAACAGGTAATATTATCTACCTGATTGAAAAATCAGAGACCTGCCCTAGCCACCTGATCTTTCTCCCTGAAAGGTGGGCACTGTTCAGTTTCCTGTTTCTTTAACAATTCTATGCAAATACAAGCAAAAACTTCCTATTCATACTTTTGGCTCTTTTTTTTTTTTTTTAAAGATTTATTTATTGATTGATTGATACATACATACATACAAGCACTGGGTACAGTCAGAAGCGCGGGAGGGTGAGAGAATTCACCAGAGCCAGAGCGGGGAGCAGAGCAGGCAGAAGGACCGAAGTACACTGCTGAGGGCAGCAGCGGGCAGCAGGAGAGGTCTGCGCGCCATGTGGGACCCTCCTCAGGTGGCCGGGGAGCAGCCGGGGATCGAACCGGTGCTCTAGAGGCTGCGGGCAGCTTCGCAACCCAGCGCTCAACCGCTGCGCCACCGGGGAGGCCCTATAGAGGACAGGTTTACTAGGAAAGGAAGGAGGAAGAAAAAGGAGTGGCACCAGCCTGTCACAGGCAGGCAGGAGATTCATACCTTTTGTCTCTTATCAGTGTCTTGGTCTTGTCGATTACATTAACTTTCTATACTTTAGACACCTCTGTCGGCTACACTGTTATCCCCTTCTGTTGGGGCAAACAGGTTGTTTCCAGTGCCTTGTGACACATGTATGCACATCCCTGCCACGTGGCAGCATAGGTGTGGGGTGGCTCCCCGAGGGAGCTTTCTGGGTCAAAGGGGAGATGCCTCTTTGGTAGCTTATTGGCAAACTGCTCGCCACAGAGGTTTTGTACCAAACATAGGTGACTCCCCTGACGGCTGATTGGGTGAACGGTTGGAGGGCTGTGCTCAGACTTTGCCCCTCAAGTGTGACCCTAGAATCAGCTGCTTCAGCTCCACCTGGGAGCGTGATAGAGCTGCACGCTCTGCCTGGCCCCTCTGCCACATCAGCCCCCGCCCTGGAACAGCCCTCCGGTGCATGTCAATGGTTGAGCGGCCCAACTCTAGGAAACGGGGGTTCAGCAGGCAGGTGTGGGCCCTGGCTTCTGCTGGAGGGTGGGACAAGAGTGGTCTACCCTGACGAGTCCATCTATCCGCAGTGCCTGCTTCTGAGAAATGTCTTCCAACGAGGCAGAGGCCACTGCCAGCGCTCATGTGACAGCCGAAGAACCGGCACAGCAGGTGAGGGAGCTGTGGGATCTGTGGAATGAAGCCTGCATGCCAGGGTGCCCTGGCAGGGGGCCAGGGAGCTGCTGGCAGCCTTTGGAGGTCAAAGGTATCTTTTTAAATAGTTGGGGGAAGAGCCATCATACGAACCGCTAACAGGGACCCCACCAGCAGATAGGGATGTGAGAATTGGGAACCTCGAAGGCTCTTCGACTGCAGGGGCACAGCTCTGTGAAACTGCCTGTCTGCCCCCCAGCCAGATGTTCAGTGTCTGAAGTTTCCTTTGGGGTCCTCCTAGGAAGTTGGTCCCTAGTCTCCCTCCCCATTTAAATAAAGGCCCCTTTTAATAAATAAATTTATGCAGGCACATGTCATTCATATACCATAAAATGTACATGATAAAGGGTAAGGCTTTAGGAAGCTTTACCAAGTTGTGCCCCCACCATACAGCTGTGAGCTATTTTTCACCTACATAGAGGGAGGCCCACCCGTCCCCATTACTGCCTCTCCCCAACCTGCACCCTGCCACTGCTCTTGCTCTCTGTCACTGTGGATTTGCCTGTTCTGGGCATCTCACATGAATAGAGACACATGATGTAGCTGGCTTCTTTCACCAAGCACAGTTTTGAGGTTTATCCACCCTATAGCAGGTGTCAGTGCTTCACTCCTTTTTAAAAAATACAGCAAAAATTTTATCCATTTTGAAATGTACATTTCAGCAACACTAATAGGGTCCATTCACAATGATGTGCCACCATCCCACCAAGTCTAGAACTTTTTTACCAACCCAAATGGAAACCCCATAATCCTTGATAGCTACTCCCTTCTCCCTGCAACCACCAATAAGTAGAACCATAAAATAATTTTATAAAAGTGGAACCTTCTACTGTGGGGACCTCTGGTGAGTGGACTCACATGGTATTTGTCCTTTGTGTCTGGCTTCTTTCTTTCTTTTTTTCATTCTTTTTTTTAATTTAAAGATTTATTTATTTATATAAGAACCGGGGTACAGGCCAGATTCACAGGAGAGTGAGAGGATCCACCAGAGACAGAGTGGGGAACAGAACAGGCAGACTGACAAAATACACTGCTGAGGGGAGCAGCGGGCATGACAGGAGAGGTCTGCTGCGCCATGTGAGACCCTCGCAGGCTGGCTGGGATTGAACTGGCGCTGCAGAGGCTGCGGACAGCTCCACAGCGCTGCGCCCAACTGCCTGCGCTACCAGGGGAGGCCCTGGCTTCTTTATTTAAAAAAAAAATATTTTTTATTTGTTTATGCATACAAGAGCTGGGGTGTAGGCCAGAGGTGCAGGAGGTGAGAGGATTCACCATAAACAGTGGGGAGCAGAACAGGCAGATCTACTGAAATACACTGCTGAGGGGAGTAGCAGGCAAGACAGGAGAGGTCTGCCTGCACCATGAGGGTCACCTCCCTGGCAGGGGATCAAACTCATGCCTCGGTGGCTGGGATAGCTTGATAATGCTGAGACTTTAACCCCTGTGCCACCAGGGAGGCCCTGTGTGTGGTTTCTTTCACTCAGCACATTGTCCTCAGGTCCAACTGTCAGATTTTCCTTCCTCTTTAAGGCTGAATAATATTTTACTGTTGCACCACATTTTGCTTATTCATTCATCCATTGATGGACACTTAGGTGGCTTCTACATTTTAGCTACTGTGAATCATGCTTTGTGAACATGGGTGTGCAAATATCATTTCAAGACTCTGCTTTCAATTATTTTGGCTTTCTACCCACAAGGGAAATTGCTGGATCTTATGATAATTCTATTTTTAACTTTTTGAGCAAGCACCATGCTGTTTTCCACCACAGCTGCACCATTGAACCTTCCTTCCAGCCCTTGCACTGGTCTTCCCTTTTCTCCATCTTTACTCTTGTTAATTCTGGTTTTTGATGGTTGTCTAAAGGGCATGACGTGATGTATCACTGTGGTTTTATCCACATTTCCAGAAGGACTGGTGATGTGGCATCTTTTCACGTACCTATTGGCTTCTTGGAGGCTGTGTTTTTTCAATATAGTGATACCCCTTTTTCTTTATCCATTCACTAGTTGATGAACTGTTCCCACTTTGGCATTATGAAAAGGCTGCCACAGACAAACGCTTTTACACTAATGTCGTGCAGACATTGGTCTTTCTGTCTGCAGGGTAGATTCCTAGGAGTGAAATTGCTGGATCATATGTCAACTTATGATTAACTTCTGAAGAGACCATGTAACTTTATGGATAAACCCTGGAGGCACAGTCCAAATCTGTCACTTGCTGGTTGTGTGACCTTGGGTGACTTCCTTAAATCACTCTATACCTCAGTTTACCTCCCATAAAATTGGACTAACTCTCTTCCAGGACTGGAGATTAAGCAACTTAAAATAAATTCTGATAACAGTGAAGTTAACTCTTTTGCCAGGGTTTCTGCGCACATCATCTTTAAAATGGGTAGGAAGAAAGATTTCCCCGTCTACGGAGGAGGGAATGAGGCTCCAAAGGGTTGCCTGGTCATTCAGCAACTCTCCCGTGCAGTGAGAGCCGCCTTTTTCAATATGTAAATGAGCAGGTGTGGCCGTGTGTCAGGAAAACTTTATTTACAAGATCAGGTGTCTGGAATATAGTTTAGTCATATAAAGGAATGAAGTTCCCACACACGCTGCAACCTCAGTGCACTCAGGACTGATGCTCGTGAAACAAGCCAGACACAGAAGAACACACAGAGTGTGACCCACTCCCTGGAGGCCCCTGGAGTCACATCCATAGAGACAGGAGTAGATGGCGGGTGCCAGGGGCGGGGGGGAGGGGAGGGGAGTTGAGTTAGTGTTTAATGGAAACAGAGCTCCACTTGGGCAAGAGGAGAAAGTTCTGGAGCTGGAGGGTGGGGAGGGTCGCACAACGGTGGGAATGTGCTTGATGCCACTGAGCTGTGCCCCTGAAAATAGTGAAAATGGTAAATTTTGTTATGTGGATTTTACCAAAATTAAAACAAATGAAGCACTGGCACATGTGACCGGATGGATGAAACCAGGGAGGGGAGCCGGGTGCAGGGGACCACGTGGGCGACGCTGTTGGCGTGAAATGTCCAGAAAAGAAAATCCATAGGCACAGGCAGCAGATTAGTAGTTCCCGGGGTCGGCGGGAGGGGAGAAACAGATGTGGGGTTTCTTTCTGGGGTGATGCAGAAGTCCTGGAACTTCTGCAGGGGGTGTCTGCACAGCTCTGTGACTACAGACACACCTCAGCTCTTTCGGGTCCGGACCTGTGAAATGAACACCCCCATAAAGTGGGTCACGAATACCAGGGATTCGCAGTCTATGTAGAAGTTAGGTTTCTGCTGGAGTCTATGACGTGTGCAGTAGCATATGTCTAAAAAGCGACGTACACCCTAATTAAGGATGACATGGATGTGAAGCGGACAAGGGCTGTCACGATTAGGGCGCCACCGGCTTGCTGGATGCAGGGTTGCACAAGCCTTCAATTTGTGGAAAAAAAAAAAAAAAAAAAAAGGCCTTGATATCTGCAAAGTGTAACAAAATGAGGTCTGGTCATACACTGAAAACCATTTGGCTGCCTTTCAATTTTTTCCCTTATATTTTTCTTTTTAAAAATGTTAGGATTTTAAAATTTTCTGATTTTTGTTATTCTAAAATTTAAAAAAAACTTTTCTGTCCTTTTCTGAATTTTTTTTTTTTTTTGGAACTATGCGCTTTAAAAATGATGACGTTTTGAATGCATGAGCTGTATCGCCAAGCTGTTAGGGAAAATAAGGATAGAAAAAAATCAGGTGACCTGGGCTGCTGGCTCTAGAGTGCTGCCCCAGTTTGAGCCCTGAGCTTGTGGTGGGGAGTGGGGATGGATTGGGGCTGAGGATGGGTCCTTGTCTCTTGCCCTGCCTGGTGCTCTGTGGCTGTGCAAAATAAATGAAATGCAGGAAGTATGTGACCAAACCTTGGAGTTCCTAACTTGTGCAATTGTGTGGGTGCAGAGTAAGAGTGAGCCGAGCTTTCTTCAGTCTGGAAAGGGACCAAAACTGTGGGGCACCCCAAGTTTCGGTCCCAAGCCTGAGCTGCTTCTTCCTGCAGCCCAGCGTGGTGGACCGCGTGGCCAACATGCCCCTGATTAGCTCCACCTGCAACATGGTGTCCGCTGCCTACACCTCCACCAAGGAGAGCTACCCCCACGTCAAGACTGTCTGCGATGTGGCAGAGAAAGGGGTGAAGACACTCACAGCAGCTGCTGTCAGTGGGGCACAGCCCATCCTCTCCAAGCTGGAACCCCAGAGTGAGTAAAGACCTTCCATGGCTGTTTCAGGGGGTCTGCCCCAACCTCAACCCCTGGCCCTGTTCTCCCAAACCAATACTAGCTAGCTTTCCCTGAGGGATACTCATGGGCAGGGGTGCATACCGGGTAATAATGGCCAGTTTCTGTCTTGCCCGTCTCCTGCAGTTACTTCAGCCAGTGGATATGCCCACAGGGGGCTGGACAAGCTGGAAGAGAATCTGCCCATCCTGCAGCAGCAATCAGAGAAGGTAACTGACAGCCCCAGTTAGGAGCCCTGGGGTGGCGGCTCAGCTGAGCCGGGACCATCCTAGTCCACTTTCACTCTAGTGGACGAGTGTGATAGCTTCCTTCCTGACCCGCTCTGTCTGTCCCTACCCTCCCTGAACCTACTCCCCTCTGGGCAGCCCTATGAATTGTCAAAGTGCTAACCAGATCTTCTCCAACCCCCCTTGTGTTTCCTGCCTTGCCCAGAACAAAAGCCAAAGCACTCCGCCTTGATTGTCCACTCCAGCCACGCTGGCCTCTGTCCTCTTTGCTCATAAGTACCAATCACGGTGATGAAAGCAGAGTCCTTGCCCTTGTGGGACTTTCATTCCAGGAAGTCAGGGAAGCAAAGATAACTAACAGTCCTACCCCAGGACCTTTGCACAGGTGGTTCTTTCTTGGAGAGTCAGTCTTTCAGGTCTGTTTTAACCTCGCCTCCTTAGAGGCCTTCCCTTCTCACTGAAAGAGGTCCCTCTAGCTCAGTCCTGTTCAGGAGGACTTTCTCTGGTGCACATGTTCTTCCTGTGCATCTTCCACTATGGAAACCACTAGCCACATGTGGCTACTGTGCCCTTTAGAATGTGACCAAGGGGCCTCCCTTGTGGCACAAGGGGTTAAAACATAACCTATGAAGCTATCCACAGCCACTGCATCACGAGTTCAATCCCTGGGCAGGGAGATACCCACATGGCACAGCAGACCTCTTCTGGCTCGCCTGCTGCTCCCCTTAGCAGTTCTTGTATGCATAAATAAATCTTTAAAAAAAGAATAGAATGTGACCAAGAAACTCAGTTACTAATTTTAATTATTTTAAATAGCTAACATATTTTTTTAAGATTTATTTTATTTATTTATGCATACAAGAGCTGGAGTGTAGGCCAGAGCTGCAGGGATGAGAGGACTCACCAGAGACAGAATGGGGAGCAGAACAGGTGGATTGACTGAAATACACTACTGAAGGGAACAGCGGGGAGACAGGAGAGGTCTGCTGCACCATGTGGGTATCTCCCTGGCCTGGGATCGAACTTGTGCTGCAGTGGCTGTGGACAGCTTCGTAGTGCTGAGACTTAACCCCTTGCGCTACCAGGGAGGCCCAGCTAACTAATGTATTTTATTTTATTTTATTTTTTTTTAAGAGGCATGTATTTTATTCATTTATTTGTTTGTTTGTTTGTTTATACATACACTGGGTACAGTCAGAAGCGCGGGAGGGTGAGAGAATTCACCAGAGCCAGAGCGGGGAGCAGAGCAGGCAGAAGGACCGAAGTACACTGCTGAGGGGAGCAGCGGGCGGCAGGAGAGGTCTGCGCGCCATGCGGGACCCTCCTCCGGTGGCCGGGGAGCAGCCGGGGATCGAACCGGCGCTGCAGAGGCCGCGGGCAGCTTCGCAACCCAGATCTCAACCGCTGCGCCACCGGGGAGGCCCTAACTAATGTATTTTAAATAGCTAATTTTAACTATTTCAAATGAAATAGCCAAATGTAACAGTGGCTCCTGTGTTAGGCAGCACGCTGCTAGCCTGCCACGTCAGATGTTTTGCTCAATAGCCTCACTGAGCTGTGATTCACATGTATTTAGGGTCTACAGTTCAGTGCTTTAGTATATTCAGATTGCATAACTATCACATTAATTTTAGAACCTCTCATCACCCCAAAATGAGGCCCCAGACCTCTTCGCTATTATTCTCCTTCCCACCAAATACCCCCGCCCCTGACAACCACTCATCTCCTTCCTGTCTGTCTGCGCCTGTCCTGGACATGTCTCCTCAGTGGACTCACACCCCGTGTGGCCTCGTGTGTCTGGCTTTGTTCCCTGAACATTGTGTGCTCTGGGCCAGTCACACTGTAGCTGTGACAGCATTTCTCGCCCCTTTTTTTTTTTTTTTTTTTGGTGGGACCCTCACCGGCAGCAGGGGAATAAACCGGCGCTGCAGAGGCTGTGGGCAGCCTCGCAGCCCAGTGCTCAACCGCCGCGCCACCAGGGGAGGCCCATTTCTCGCCTTTTTAAGGCTGGATGTTACCCCAGTGTCTGGAGGGGCCACCTTCTGCTTATTCATTCGTCATGGACACCTGGGTTGTGCCTTCCTCTGACCACTGTGAATCACGCTGCAGTGAGCAGGGCATACAGGTCACACTGGCTTTTCAGGAACACTGCAGATAGCAGGGGGCTTGGCTGCTTGTCTCCCTGCTGGGGTGAGACTCTGCTATGTGCTCTGTCTGGCCCCCCTCATGCAGCCTGGCCCAGTGAGACAGACGGCCATGCTAGATATGCCTACTCATGTTCCCTAGACGGGGAAAGGCCAGCCGCCACTGCTGTTCCCCCAGGCTTTCCGCTGAGACCACCAGGCGGTGGTGGCCCTGTTGGCCGAGGACATCCAGGCATGTCCCCTGGCAGCATCCTGTCTATGCAGAGACAGACTCAGCTAGAAAGAGTGGAGCAGGATTTGAACCCAGAGTCTCCAGGGTGGGGGTGTGTCCTGGCACTATGGGGTGTTGGGCAGTATCCCTGGTCCCACCCACTCAATGCCAAGAGCACCCCCAATGAAAGAAATGTCTCCCAACATTGTCAAGTATTCTCTGGGGGAAAACCCTCGCCCTGTTGGAAACCATTGTTCTAATTGACTTCATGATTAATGTGCTCCCAGGTTACTGACTTGCCAGGAGTGGGCCCTCATTCTGCCGTCACGATGCAGTGCTTGGGCCAAACCTTGTCCTACGCCGTGTCTTAGTCAGCTCGGCTGTTGTAACCAAGTGCCACACGCGGGTGGCCTCGGCAGCAGACATTTATTTCTTGCAGTTCTGGAGACTGAGAGTCCAAGGTCAAGGTGTGGGCGGGGCTGGCTTCTCCTGAGGCCTCCCCCTTGCTGGCTGTCTTCCCGTGTCCACTCTTGGTTGTCCCTGTGCGCCCGTGTCCTCACTTCTTTTTTTTTTAAAGATTTATTTATTTATGCATACAAGAACTGGGGTGTAGGCCAGAGGTGGGAGGGCTGAGAGGATTCACCAGAGACAGAGTGGGGAGCAGAACAGGCGGACTGACCGCAGTACACTGCTGAGGGGAGCAGCGGGCTAGTCAGAAGAGGTCTGCTGTGCCATGGGGGTAGCTCCCTAGCTGGGGATCAAACTCATGCTGCAGTGGCTGGTAATAGCTTGATAGTGCTGTGTCTTTAACCCCTGCACCACCAGGAAAGCCCCATGTCCTCACTTCTTATCAGGACACCAGTCACACTGGATTAGTATGACCTCATTGAGCCTTACTAGCCCCTTTAAAGACCTCATTACCAAATGAAGTCACATCCTATGCTCCTGGACTTGGGGTTTCAACATGGCTTAGCCCACAGTGGTACCAACAGCTGGAGGCACAGAGAGGGGGTGGCCTGGTTGCCCAAGACATGCAGCCAGAAGATTCAAGCCAGGGGTTGGACCCAGACCATAAGCTCCGGAGGGCTTGGTCTTAACTGAGACACCAGACTTGATCTTGATCCTTGGGGTCACTCTGGAGCTGGAATCCCTCCCTTCAGCCGTCCTGGACGAAGGGGTGTGAGGCCAGGGCACCCGGTGCAAAGGGAGGGCAGAGATGCTAAAGCTGCCTCCCCTTCCTGCAGGTCCTGGCAGACACCAAGGAGCTTGTGTCATCCAAGGTGTTGGGGGCCCGAGAGGCGGTGTCCAGCACAGTGTCCAGTGCCAAGGACACTGTGGCCACCCGCATGACAGAAGCAGTGGACATGACGCGGAGCACGGTGCAGAGTGGTGTGGACATGACCAAGTCCGTGGTGACCAGTGGTGTCCACTCGGTCATGGGCTCCCGCATGGGCCAGATGGTGCTGAGCGGAGTGGACACAGTTCTGGGCAAGTCTGAGACATGGGTGGACAACCACCTGCCCATGACAGACGCCGAGCTGGGTGAGTGTGGCCCGTGGGCCTGGGTCCCCTCTCCGCGCTTTCCAACTTGGGGGTTCTCCCAGTGGCCACCGGGAGGCTGTCACTGGCTGCCCTCTTGTGCCTGTCAGCTGTCCTGGTGTCTAGCCCACAGGGACCAGTTCAGTCTCCTCCCCTTGGGGGCCCCCAAGTCTGTCCTTCCCACAGATGCCATTAGAGGGCACCTGGGAGCTTCTTCACAGTCAGTCTTCCCTGCAACAGCCACCAGAGGGCACCTGCCAGCTCCTGAGTCAGGACCCCCCCCACCTCTGACCACAGCCTCCCAGGGGTCCCACCTACCTCCTGGTAAAAGCCCAAGTGTTCCAGGAGATCCTCTTATATTTGTGGGACTCCCCTCGTTCATCCAGCCTCACTGGCCTCCTTACAGACCCTTGACCCTGCTTCTGCCCCAAGACCTTTACACTAGCTGGTCCCTCTACCAGCAACATTTTTCTCCTAGACATCCAGAGGGGCTTCCTCCCTTCTGCTCTAGCTCTGTGCTCAAATGCCCCTCCCACTGAGGCCTTTGTTCTCTAAAATTATCGCCTCCCTCATGTGTGTGTATCCATCCATACTGTGCACTGACCCTGAATCCCCCCCTCCGCTCCTGCCCAGCTCTCTCTTCTCTTCACTCTCATCAGTGACTTTGCAAAGCGAAGCTTCCGTCTTGGTCACTGCTGTGTCCCCAAGTCTAGAGCGGGGCCCGGCTCTTAGCAGGTGCTCACGTTCTTGAATAAAATCACACAAACCACCACCTTTCTATACCCCTCACCCCCAGAAACCTATTTGTTCATTCAGATGCCCTCACCGAACTCAGGCTGAAATATATGGAAGTCAGGATGCAGGAGAGAATTCAAGGGGAGAACTGGGTAGATGTGTCTGAGGTGAGGTGACTGGAACGCCAGTGGAGGGAGGAGGGACTGAGTCATGCAGGAGTCAGGGAAACAGGAGTCAGCCCTGGGTGACGGGGGTCTTGTGAGGAGGGAGGAGGTGAGGGCGGGGTGGGTGGGCAGGTGCTGCAGGGGCGTGCTGACCAGGCGTGATGTGGGTGCTCACCCTGGGGAGATGGGCGTGGGGGAGGCCTGTGGGCAGCAGAGGGGCAGGACCCCACTCGGTGCTCTCTGGAGGCTGCTGTGGGAGGCACAGACTTGGGGTGGGGGGCGAATGTGAGCAGGGGGACCATGGTGGAGGGGTTCCTGTGCTCCAGGTAAGCAAAGGTGGGGACTGGGCAGGGTGTGGCAGCAGCGAAGAGAGGTTGACAGACTGGGAAGTACTAAAACAAAAGCGGCCGGCCCTCCTCGGGTCTGGCCAGCGGCCTTGACTCCACCTGTGCAGCTGCCCCCAGCTCGCGTGCGATGACTTCCTGCTGGACTTGCAGCTCCAGTCTGCACGTCAGCCAGCCCGAGGGGCCGTGTTACTAGACATGCACTTCTCCCATGGGGGGGTGCACCAGGGCTCCAGCCGGCTTTGGCCAGAGCTGGTTGATTTGAACTAAACATTTGGGACAACTGGGAAAAGTTGAAAACAGATGAGGTCAAGGTTCCCAGCAGCAGCACTGCTGACAGTCAGGGCTGGGTGTCCTTAGCGGGCGTCCCAGCCTCTGTTGGGGGAGGGTTGTGAAGCAGGCTCCTTGCCCCCCCCAATTCCTGGAGCACTTCCACTTGGGACAACCACAGATGTCCCCAGATGCCCCCCAGTGTTCCCCCATGTCCCCCAGGCGGGAGAGAACCACCGCTTTGCCTGTTCTAGAACCTCATCTAAATGGGATCTGCAGGCCCCTGTGCTGGGAGCAGAGCTGATCGTGAGCCCCCACTCATTCCGTGCGCTGCTTAGTACTAAGGATCATTTCTTCCTGTGTTAGCTGGAAAACTTCCCTGGAGAAAGTTTTCTGCAATTTTGATAACTCTGAGTACAGCTTGTGGTGGTTAAATGGCTCACTTCCTCTTTCAATTTTTTTTTTTTTTTTTGGCATGGGGGAGTGATTAGCCCCCTCCAGGGGTTAATGGTGAGGTTTTCCCCACATCCTAGGTTTGAGTGTGTGGCTTAACACAACATATTCCAATTGGGTGCATTTATTTCATTGACACATCATTTGCCCCATCATTTTTCACTGCCTGGAGCTACCTTAGAGTTGACTCTCAAGCCGCATGATTCTCCTTGGGACTTCGCGAGGAAAGTGGTGGTCCGTTGCTGTCTGGAGAAACTCGATGTTCCAGGGCTGAAGGTCTTAGGCCCTGCAGTGGTCACTGGCGCGTACATGTCACTTGTCCTTTGAGTTTGCAAAACATAACTCTGAACCTCTTGCTAGAAGGGACCTGGCTGATGTGTTCCCTGCCTTACCCCAAGTTCAGTGTCTGCTGGCCCGTAGCAGGCGCTGAGACCGAGTGAGACTCAGTGTGGGGTCTAAGCCCCTGAAGGCAGGAGGAGAAGCAGGGTTGCTGGCAGCCATGGCAGAGAACAGACCCGCCTGCCAGCTGACTTTCTGTGCTTGTCCGTTGTGTTCTTAGTCTAGATGAGATCACTCTGCACAGGGTGGCCTGTGGGTAAAGGGATGATGAGCTGTTGTAGGGCTGTGTTAGAATTAGGCCAGGCCTGCTGCTTCCTGGCTCAGAGGGGAGCAGGTCTCTTCCCCCTCCCTCCAGGCTCTGCCCTCTGCATGGGCCATGGGGCCCTGCCACCTTGCTCAGACACGCCCAGACTCTCCGGGACATCCTTGGCCGAAATAACTGGGCTGCTTTCACTTCCATGGGCAGAGCTCAGAATGTCACTGCTTTTGGGTTAGGCTTTGCAAACTTGCCTGTGGTGGGAGAATGGGGTAGAATCTTTTTTTCTCAAAATGGAGGTTTTCATTTTTGCTCTATCTAAATGCCCCCCATTTTGCTTTTTTGGTTCAGTTTTTTAAATGTCAGGGTCAAGTGACTCTTTCCTGACATCTTCCCTGGCCCAATGATTTTGTAAATAAAGTTTTATTGGTACACAGCCACACCCATTCATTTACTTATCACTACAGCCCAAGTCTGAGCTGCCCAAAGTGTGAAGTTTAGACAGCTTTGTTCTGGAAAAGGTATCCAAAGGAGCTTTTAGTTATTTTTATTATCTATTTGTAGCAGATTATGCAGCCTTCTGTAGTAAAGTTTGCTTTCTAAACAAATCTGGAAAAGTTGATTTAAAAGAGATCAAGCAGGACAGGGAACACAAGCATATGCCCAAGATAACTTGAAGATACCCAGAACAGCAGAGGCATTCTGCTGATTGAGTGAGCTCCCCATTTTAGTCACATATCTGGGCATCTGCTCAGGGTTAGACACTGCCCCAAGAACCAAAGGCAGCAGAGTCCTTCATCTAGTCTTCGGCCTTTGCTTGGTCAAGGCAAACCTTTGATCAAGGGAATACAGTTGTTTTTACAAACATTACACAATTCTGGGATTTCAGAGGTTGGTGAACTTGTCCTGTGCAGAGCCAGGCAGTCAATTTTTGGGGCTCTGCAGGACTTACACCCCTGCTGATGTAACAGGAAAGCACAGGCAGTAGGGAATGCCTGGGCGTGACTGTGTGTCAATAAAGCTTTAGAAAGGCAGGTGACATTTCATCCAGAGGCCGCTGTTTGCTCCCCTGCCGCAGAGCACTGGAGAGCCCGTGAGTTCGTAGGTTGGGATTCAAACCCAGATCAGGTTGCTTGCAGAGCTCAACCTATTACTGCTATATTCATGTTTAAATGCAACAGGATAAAATTGTCAGGACAGGAGTTTTCTGTCCCGCTGCCTTGTAATTTTCTGAGCACTTTCCTGGGCCACGTCGTCCTGACTTTTCTTTGCTCCTGGTTAAAATGGTTCTTGTATGATTCAGACTTCTCCCATCGAGTCTCAAGGTTAAGAACCTCATGGGGTCCGAGGGTCTGGCTGCAAATCCTGATTTGTGACCCTGGGCAAATCATTCAGCTACTCTGAGCTCCAGTTTCCTCATCTGTAAAGATGGGGTGATGATGCCTCTTTTGTAGTGTTAAGATCTAATAAGGACACATGTGAAGCACCTAGAACATTGTGGAAGATTGTGCCAGCTGCTAATACAGGATCAGCCATTTTTCTCTTAAGGACCAGATAATGAATACTTGAGTCTCTGGAGACTGAGGGTCATTATATAGATCTTCCTCACCTTACTGTGGGGGTGCATCCCAAATGTAAGTTCAAAAATTGAAAATGCTTTTAGCACTCCTAACCTACCTAGTGTCATAGGTCAGCCTAGGTCAGCCTAGCCCCCTTCAACCTGTTCCATACACTTAACTTTTACCTACAGTTGGGCAGAATCACCTAAAACAGGGCCTATATGAAGTTGTGAACATGTCAAGTCCAGAGGGCTGTTTTGTAGACATGATGGAAGGTGAAGACCTAAAACACAACATCCAAAGCACCCCACCACCACCACCACCACAGTGTGCTGTAGAGTATTGCTTGTTTATGTGCCTAATCATTTGACTGGTTCCGGTGATTTACCATGTTGCTTACCCAGAAAACAATCAAAATATAAAAGCTGAAGTAAGGTTTCTATTGAATGCATATTGGGTTCCCTTCATTGCAAAGCTGAAAGATTGTAAGTTTTGAGTCATCCTAAGTCAGATATTTATACTTTGAAAGCTGTCCTATTTAACAGACATGCTTGGATGTATTAGTGTTTCGTACAAAACTGGAGGGGGGTCGAATGTGGCCTAAGGGCCATAGTTTGTGAACCCTCGCGCTAGCCTAAGGCTTCCTAATTCTGGAAGGCTTGGGCCCTGTTATACCCATTTTGCAGATAGGGAAAACCAAGGCAGGGACAGCCTTTTCTCTGAGGCCTCACAGCTTGCATGAAGGGCCACGAGCTCTGGCAGGAGCCCCCCATGCCGCAGTCCACTCCGCTCTGCTCCAGGCCTGGCCCTCACGTGCCCCTGCCTCCCTCCGCAGCCCGCCTCGCCACGTCCCTGGAGGGCTTCGACATGGCCACCGTGCAGCAGCAGCGGCAGGAGCAGAGCTACTTCGTGCGTCTGGGCTCCTTGTCAGAGCGGCTGCGGCAACGGGCCTACGAACACTCGCTGGGGAAGCTGCAGCACACGAGGCAGCGGGCCCAGGAGGCCCTGATGCAGCTGACGCAGGCCCTCAGCCTGGTGAGCCTGGGCTCGTGGGGTCCCTCCTGCAGCTTCACTAACCAACCCCCCACACCCAGGGGCTTATCCTTCGTGTGCCGCAGGCCTGCCCAGACCGGCCTGGGGCACTGTGGTCAGGTGACTGCTGGGACTGCTAGAATAAACATAGTCTGAGCTACAGGAACTTACAGTCTCCTAGTGCCTGAGGCTGAGAGCCCAAGATGATGCTGTCAGTGGGGTTGGCCTTTCCTGAGGCCTCTCCCCTTGGCCTGCAGGCGACTGCCTTCTCCCTGTGTCCCTCATGGTGTCCTCTGTGCCCATGTGCCCTCATCTCTTCTTAGAAGGAAACTGATCAGATGGGATTAGGGTCCATCCCAGTGGCCCTGTTTTAACTTAAACACTCCTTAAAGACCCTCTACCAATAGCTCCAACCGAAGGTCCCGGGTTTCGGCTCCACTATAGGACTTAGCAGAGGACACATCTGGCCTGTGGGGTGGGGGCTGGAGGCTGGGCTCTTGCTTGGTGCCTCCCCCCCACCCCCTCCACCCCTGCCATGAGCTGGCTTTGCTCTTCCCTACCCTGGTCATCCTGCGGGGTCCCCTGCACAGCACACAAAGCTCAAGTGGAGAAGGCGCTGAAGCACTTGAGTTTTTGTTTAAAGCCAGTTTTATTGAGGTATAATTTATACTCAATAAAAATTACCCTTTTTAAAGTGTGCTGGGGGGTCAGGGGGTTGTCAATATAGACATGTAACTACTCCCAACATCAAGATAGGGGGATTTTCTATTCTCTAAAAAGTTAACTGTTTATTTTTTCCCTCTTTGCTTAGCTTCCTTCTTAGTACTGTCTCCTCCATCTATTTTTGTAAATTGTTTTACTGATGATAAATCCACATGAGATCAGATGTACCGCCCTAACCATTTTTAAGTGTATAGCTCAGTGGCATTAGCTACAACCATCCTCACCCTCATCTCCAGCACTTTCTCATCTTCCCAAACTGAAACTCTATTCCCACTAAACAGTAAACCCCTCCCCTCGGGGTGTGTGGGGGCACCAGGGGTCAAATGCCCAGGCAGCTTGGTTCTCTCTCACGGCACTCTCTTGCCCTAGATGGAAACTGTCAAGCAGGGAGTTGACCAGAAGCTGATAGAGGGTCAGGAGAAACTACACCAGATGTGGCTCAGCTGGAACCAGAAGGAGCTCCTGGGCAAGGAGAAGGATGCAGCCAAGCCAGAGGTACCCCCAGAGAGTGGCAGGAGGTGTTGGGACCCTGAGCGCCATGAACCTAACTGCCTGGAGTGTTTTCTCCTCTCACCTCCCATTATTGCTGTCAGGATGCTAAGACACCTCCTCCAGGAAGCCTGACTTGTTTTCTGCTGTTGGGTGTGTTGGGTGTGTTGCTGCTGAATCTGGAACGCAGGGCAGTCTCAGCCTGCTAAATTCTATGCCTACATGTCGTTTACCTCGAGTCATTTTATTCTAGCTGTCCTAGTGGGGAGCAGTGGTGGATCTTTGTGGGTCTGTATTTCCCTGATGGCTAGTGAGGCTGAGTGTCTTGCACCTGCCATCTGCTTATCTACTTGAGAGATGTCTCTGCCTTTTTTTCACTTTGACTGTAGTGTATCTCACACAGTTCAAAACTCAAAGAGCAGGTGTTCCAAGCTACCCTTCTAGGCGGTCTCACCCACGGAAAGGTTTTTCTGAAGGTGAACGGTAAATCCCCATTTGCTTTTATAAATAAGATCCCTTACACCCACAACAAATGGCCCCTCCCCTCTCAGCAGGTGGAGTCCCAGGCGCTCACCATGGTCCGTGACATCGCCCAGCAGCTGCAGGCCACCTGCGCCTCCCTGGGCTCCAGCATTCAGGGGCTGCCCGCCCACGTGAAAGACCAGGCCCAGCAGGCGCGCCGCCAGGTGGAGGATCTCCAGGCCACCTTTTCCGGCATCCACTCCTTCCAGGACCTGTCCAGCAGCGTCCTGACGCAAAGCCGCGAACGGGCGGCCAAGGCCCGAGAGGCCCTGGACCACATGGTGGAATATGTGGCCCAGAACACACCCGTCACGTGGCTGGTGGGGCCCTTTGCCCCAGGAGTTACTGAGAAAAAACCAGAAGAGAAGAAGTAGGATAGACAGGGAACTCGGGGTTCCCAGCCCTGCCTGACTGGCCACATTATGTCCCAGCCTCCCTTGGAGCAAACATTTCTAACCACTTCTCCCCGTTTGTCTCACCTTGGGAACCCAAGGTCCTCAAACCCAACCTGTCCTCACCTCCTGAGCTGGGGGAAGTGTGTTCTCAAGCCCTGCAGTCACTTGGGCAGTTTCCAGAAAAGTATTCTCTAAAAGTTTCCCAAGTATTTTTCTTACAATCAGGGATATTGTCCTTATGTCCCTCTTCCTTTTGTACGTCATGGCCTCGAGTGTTAGCCTTTTGCAAATGAACTTGGACCCAAGGTCTGCAAGGTGGGGTGGAGACGGAGCTGCTGAAACTCTAGAGCAGAAGGGGCCACGCCTTGGGGGCCTGCCTGGCAAGCCTTGGGGACCTTGGTGTTTCATTGTTGCCTTAATAAATTTTACCTGCAGCCAAGTACAGGCTGTGTGCGCGTGTGTGTGGGGTGGGGGGTGTGTGGGTGTGTTTGTTTCCTAGCAGCTGAGCAGCTGTCTGTGCGGCTTTGTCAGCTGCTGTGACTGCGGCAGGACCAGACCTGCTAATGGGCCTGAAGTGCCTTCAAAGGGCCCATCTTGATTGTCAGACATGCTCACTGCACTTGCTTGGTCTCTAGTCTTCAAATTAGATCCTGGACGTTGCAGAGAAGAGCCAAGCATGAAGGACCTTTCATTCCTGCCCCAGGTACCACGGCCTCACCTTGTGGGTATCCGGCAGAGCCAAGGAGACGGCTGCTCTCCCGCACCCAGCTGCCTCGGTGCGTGGGATGGGACGGCAAGCAGCAACGATCCCTTCAGAAATGTGGCCATTCTACTCCTGGGGCCTAGAGCTGCTTGCCTCCATGGTGAGGGCCCTTGCAAATGGGATATGGTCAGGCATCTGGAGACGGGAGTGATCTGGGATCATTGGGGGCTCTAAAAGTCATCACAAGAGTCCTCAGAAGAGGGGGAACCAGTTGGAGGGGACAGAGATTACAAAGTTATATTGATGGGCAGGTGCTATTCTCTCTGGAGGTGGAGAATGGGGCCAGGAAGCCGGGGATGCAGGCAACGAGCAAAGATAAATCACTGGCCTCTGCAGCAATGGGGTGCGCTAGGCATGACGTTGACTAAAAGAACCAGACAGAAAAGAAGCCAGACTCTGACTGCATCTAGATGAAGCTTCAACACAGGAGAAGCGATGGTGGGAGAAATCTGAAAAGAGGTTGCTTGGTGGGTAATGATGGAAAGGACCTGGACCTTGACCTGGGTGTGTTAACTCCAGGAGCATGTGCCTGTGTAACAGTCCCCTGAGTCATCCATTGAAGATTTGCATGCAGTAGACCCATGAATGACAGGGTTGGAGCTGTGCGGGTGCACTTCTATTTGCGGGTTCCACATTCTCAGATTCAACCAAACCGGGTGTGGCCTCAGTGACTCGGCAGATCTGCAGTATTAAATTTGGAGGACTGATTCCAAGCTGGATGGGGGTCTGCGACATGGCAGGGGTTGGTGCCCCTAACCCTCTTGTTGCTCAAGGGTTCACTGTGCTTTAGTGCCTATGAAGTCTACTTCCACTAAGAAAGAGAAAGTGGTAGGTGGGGCCGAGAGGGGAATTGAACCCCTGTTCTCTTCTGGTGGGAGCACAGACAGACCATTAATTTGGAGAACAATTTAGTAAAAGTGAGACTACTACTCTATCTCTTAGGAGAAGTCCCAGAAGTTCCCCTTCCTTGCAGCTACCCTAGAAAAATACTTATTAAGTCACGTTATCCTATGGCAGTCCCAGAAGGTACATGCCGTCTCCAGGTTACAAGGGAGAGAAACTGAGGCTCAGCTCAGCAGGCTCACCTTGGGCTCCACAACTAGTAAATGTCACAGTGAGGATTTGAACCCAGAACTCAGGTTTCCCCCCACTGTGTTCATATCACCATGATGTAAGGTGGCGATGCCTGTTTTGAGGGTAATAGCATCCAGTACGACCAGCGATAGGGGGCTTGTTAAATCGTGATCCAGCCACGCTTGGAGAGACAGTAACATTTACAGTGATGAAGCTGGGCTACCTGCGTCAGCTTAGAAAATGTCAAAGACACGTTGTCCATGGGCTAAAGGTAAATATCGGTACGATTTGTGTCTGGGGTCAATGAACTACTGGCTTCACGCCAGCTCAGGGCCACAGCCTGGCTTTGTAGACGAGGTTTTATTGTCACCCAGCTGCATCCACTTATGGACGTATCACCTGGGCCTGATTTCCAGCTGCGCCGGCAGCGGCATTGAGCAGCTTTGCCTTCGGCCGTCTGGCCAGGAACAACAAAGATGTTTACTATATGGAGCCTTCCAGAAAAAAAGTTTGCTGATTTGTGGCAAATGCAACTTCAAAAGCAAAACCACAGCAACAAAGTCTAAATATCACATTCATGATGTCAACCAAGAAAAACCTGACGATGTTCAAGTGAAATAATGGTGTTTTTCTTTGGGGGGTGTCTGAGGTTTGCACTTTGGGGAGCACCCATTCAGGCATCAGTCAGCCCAAATGGTATCCCTTTGGGTCTGTGTTCAAGGGAATGTTAAGAGGAAAAGATGGAGGGAAGAAGAATAGAATCAACCAAGAACTAGGATTGATTATAAATTACATTCTAGAGCATTAACTCTTAGTCAAGTTGGCCTTCATTGCCATAGAGTAGAAAAAGGAAAAAAAAAAATGTTTACACAGTTCGCAGAGAAGCTGTGCCCAGCTTGAAACAGGATCCTGCTAGTCAGTAAATATTAATAGATTGTAAAAAGTTAAAAGTCCAGTAAGATGGCTTCTCGGGCACAAGATGGCGTCAGCTCCATCAGCCTTAATGTCCATTTGCACAGTGGACATGTGACGTGAGCAAAGGTGGAAGATGCAGTGTGTAAGCTCCCCGGTGGGGGACGCCCCAGCTCACTCCGGGATGGGATAGGAATCGACCTCCACTGCAATATTTTCTCTCTTTCTTTGAGGGGAAGGCTGTGACTGCACCTGTCTGGGGCTTAATTTATCCACTGCAGTGCAGAGGTCACCTGGAAGCTGGACTCTCTGTTTTCTACCTTCTCTGAACCTTAGTTGTCTCACCTGTTCAATTGTTCAAAGGGCATCTGCAAACCTACCTGGGAGAGGTTCCTTTTTTTTTTTTTTTTTTTAACTTTTCCAGTAAAAATGAAAGAATTTTAACTTCCAAGTCTTTATTTGAGATGCAAAATTAATGCAACCTGGGCCTCCCCGGTGGCGCAGCGGTTGAGCACTGGGCTGCGAAGCTGCCCGCAGCCACTGCAGCGCCCGTTCGATCCCCGGCTGCTCCCCGGCCACTGGAGGAGGGTCCCGCATGGCGCGCAGACCTCTCCTGCCGCCCGCTGCTCCCCTCAGCAGTGTACTTCGGTCCTTCTGCCTGCTCTGCTCCCCGCTCTGGCTCTGGTGAATTCTCTCACCCTCCCGCGCTTCTGACTGCACCCAGTGCTTGTATAAATAAATAAATAAATAAATAAACAAATGAATAAATCTTTAAAAATAAATAAATTAATTAAATAAAATAAAAAATTAATGCAACCTATGTCAGAACATCTAATGGACAAAATTAACTGTGGGTCTGCTAGACTTAAGCGGCCTGCTCAGCCACCATCATGGTTCCCTGCAGTTCTGCATTCCTATACAAGGTCAGAACTGTCCAGTCACAGTCGTATGAGCCACACCTTGCAAGGTGCCTTTCATATCAAGCAAGAGCAGAAAGCTTGATCACTCTGAGAAGGGTATGCATCAAGAGGTATGACCAGGAACGCCTGGGGGGCTGAGGACAGATGCATAAACTTACTCCCGACTCATACATCAGGAGGTATGACCAGGAATGCCCGGTCTCGGGGGGTCAAGGACCGATATATGACAAGGGACCCCAGAAGCCGATCAGTGGAATGCCTTGCTGATAAGATTAGGACTGGGGTCTGGGGTGTAGTTTCGATGACAACACTTGGTCATCAAGCTGATAACATGGTCAGCAGACTCGTGTCCCCCAAGCCCTAGATGATATTCCTGAGTTTCACCATCCTGTTCTCCTTGTCCTCCTAACGCACATAGCTGATGCTCTGTAATATTTCTATCAATAAAAACAGCCAGGATTTTGCTTTCAGCAGCATCCTGCCTTGTGCAGCCTGCTCCATGACTCCCATGCCTTTATCAGTGTGGTGTTGCCCGACACAACAATTAACAACGTAATTCTGTTACATTAATTAACCCACTTATTAGCAATGTTAGCAATGTTTCAAATGGGGGCGCTTCTGCTGGTCCCTCAGGTCCTCGGGCCCCTGACGGCAGCTCTACTGCCCAGCGCCACCAGCCACCGTTGTCATGCAGCGGCCACGGTGCCAGTTCCCCACGGCTCACCTCTCCATCTTGGTTTTGCCACAGGAAGAGCAAATGAATTTGGCGTGTTGCCTGGTTTCAATTTTCTTTGCCATTTTCCTGGGGGAGGCACTAGAACAGGTTCTGTATTTACCCCCATCTGGACCTTGGTGTGTCTGGCAACTAGGTCAGCACCCAGTAGCCCAAGTGTTGTTTTAAGACGTGGGTCCTGGGGTCTAGCACCCCACCCCTACAGAAGGAACAGGGCTTGGGGGCTGGATCATGAATGCCCACCGTTGGGGAGGGTAGAACATTCCTCTGGTGGGAGAGGGGTTCCAGAAGCCCACAAGAGCTGTCTGGCACAGGAACAGGGACCTGGTGGGCGCTCTGAAAATAGTTGATGGAGAGGTGTGGAGAGGGGCCTGGGAAGATTCATTTAATGACCTCTCCCCTCTAAATTTTCTTTCTTCCTCCCCGATGTATCCCCATAGCCGATATGTGCCTGGCATACAGTAGGAGCTCAATAAACTTTCTCTCTCAAGGAGGCAAGGGACTAAGAGATCCAGAGGAGGGGGGCAGTTAGCAACCATGTAACTTCCATTTGCCTCCCCTCCCAAGATTCTTCAAGGATTTGGGAGGACCTGATGATAGAATTTAGGGTGTCTAAGAACTGATGGGAAAAACATAACACATCTTTATTTTCACTGACTCCTATTGATTTGTACCATTTCCTCAATTATGAATAAAGGGAACAGGACTAGTGACTCTGTCCTCAGTAGAAAACCACAGATATTTTCATATTGCATTGCTGCCAGCAGCTCGAAATACGCTGACACTCGTCACTGTCACCAGGGTTATTAGCTCTTATTATTTAATGTGGCGATAAATATAAAAATATATCACTAGGTGTTGATTATTGGCTTTGGTATAGTTCTATTCCAAAGTGTATTTTTAAAGGTGTTATCTTATGAGTATTAAAAAAAAAACTGTGGCGCAGGGGTTAAAGACAGACTGTCAAGCTATGGCCAGCCACCATAGCACAGCCAGTGTGAATTCGATCCCCACCAGCCAGGGAGCAACCCACATGGCGCAGCAACCT